AATTAATCGGACACCACTAAAGTACGAACCCATAGTTATTGTCCTCCCTTTCATGTTGGAAGGGGGGTAGGGTCCTTTCAAATCAGAGAGGAATAAAGAACTGCTGTGGGGCAGGTGGGAGTCCCGGGAAGCAGGGGGACCACCCAGTTGGCATGGATCAGCTGCTCAGTGAAGAAAGAGTGACCAGAGAAAGTGTATATGGTGCGCTTTTGCTATTCTTGTTACTGCTTTGAGATTATCACAAGCAATTCTTTCAGACTGAAACAGTCCTGTGATATTATTTTGGAAATAGCAAAGAGTAGGCTTGGAGAAATGGCGCCTCACAGTGTGAGTCTCTATGGACAAAGAATCCAAAAATGGAGAGGAATAGCATAACTCCGAAAAGGAAAGGAAAGCAAATGGAACCCTCGGGAAGCCAGCCTTGAGGGCACAGACTTCAGGAGGCAACTCAGTCCTGGGAATCAGTCATTAGCAGGCCCATGACACCCATTCAGATTATGCTGTGTTCAAGTGGCTTGCTCAGGGTATTATAGGCATAATATATGCAGGCAGAGCTGAAGTCCTAGGACCCAAAATGGAGTCTTGACACCCACTAGGTTAGGAACTAACTACTTTGAACCTAGGTCTCCTCGAACTTTAACTACCCGCAATATTGTACCTACAACACAGAGTTTTTAATGAAGAATAAGCAATATAAGGAGAAAAAAACACTTTGCCAACCATACTATCGCCACAAATATTAGAGTCCACACTCAGAATACACTTGAATGATTTTGAGGAAGCAGGCGGGAATTAGGAGAGAAGATAGCCGACAACATGTCCCCACTTGGATCTACCAACAGTGGCTTGATTTCCAAAGCCAGGGACATCACTAGTGTTAGTCAAGGAGCCCAGATGTTTTCTTTCCGTAAACTTACAATGTCATCTGATATTCTAGGCAAAGAACAGTGCCTTAATTTAAGCTCGCAGAAAACATTAAATGTTGTTGCGCGTGTCTTCTATTCATAGGGTTTCACTTCCATGAATTTTAAGCAAATGTAACCAGTCTGTTGTCTTCCAGGTTACTTAGAAAGTGATTGTGCTGTCAAGCAATGATTTCCTCTTTTCCCCCCTTACATTTGCCCCCATTGTCACAAGCGTATCCCATACGGATCAGCCAAGTGAGAGACAGGCCACAAGATGAAAACTGTTTCGGACTTCTTACTGTATAAAGGTTCTCCTTTCTCTTTCTCTACAGAGAGATTGTGAAGAACAATTTCCAGGCATCCATATTGAGTGTTTTCCACCCAGAAACGCTGGGGGCTAAATAAGCCACTGGTGTCTTTATCTGAATGTCAGGCACATGATCACTTATCGTTACATCAGAGGAGATGGCGAATGGAAAGAAACTAGAACGAAACAAAACAAAACAAAACAAAACAGGTCTTCAAGCCCAGCCACAGATGTTCAGGTTTTTCCAAATGCTGACTTCAAGACCCGAGGAGCTTTGTTGATCACTTGCAAAGAAGGAAACTTGAAGAAAGAAAAGAAATCTTAGTGGTGTTCACTGCTAATTATCTGACAAAACACTCAAGTGTTGAAAGCTATGGCTGAACACCAGTGAACTATGGGAAAGTGGCAAAGTAGTCAGAGCAAATCAATACGACATAAATAAGCCAACTCGGTACTTAAAACGGGGGCTCAGCACCATTTAAGATCATCTTCAAAAACTTTATAAACATGAAACATCATCTCTTCAGAAAACTTAGACCTATGGCATACAGACAAAATTTTGTGTTATGGCTTTGGGGACGCATAGCTCACAGATTCGTTCTCTTAATTTAGAAAGATTCATCTGAGCCATAATTTATACTGCACGAGCACGGCTTCCATGATAAGAACATAAGCCAACGGAGGTATATGGTAAATGAACCTAACTGAAAGAGTTGAGTTCGAGCAGTTCTACAAAACAGACAAACAACCAAACAATCCTTCAGTCAACCCATCTGACTGTTCGCTGGGTGTGGACTCGTCTAAGCACTGCTTCACGAGAGATGATGCATACATAGTCCCTGCTTGGCCCAGAGAAGGAGAGAGACAGCTGAACCCAAACAATGAGAAACTCCAGGGTGGAGTTGCATGTGAAGTGCAGACAAGGTAACATTCCACTGTACCAAACAGATCCCGTAGTGGGTCGTACCTGCCTCTAACCTGGAACTACTCGTTCCTTCTCTTGTTACCCCTGCAGTTTGCTCATGTGATGGATGAGCTCAACATGCACGAGCATCGTTTAGGGGTTATGGGCTATCCCCTTCCAAGCACAGAATGAATAAAACGTTGAATGAGGCAATCTGAGCCGCCCAATCTCTAATTCTGGTCTGGTGTAGTGGAAATACAGTCTTTGGAAATTAGTAGCTCTGGTAAGAGAGGGGGCCTGCAAGAAACGCCCTTTATGCAAAGAAACATATTCAGTCCTAGGGCAGAGTCTCTCTGGGAGAACGCGGGTCATGGCCTCAAAGAAATGGGTGTAGACTTTGATGATAGGGAGCCTGCAAGTATGCTGAGGACATCATTGTACCTAATGCACCTGTTCATTGTAGGTACTACCTTATGCTGACCTTAGGACCCTGCTAGGGAACAATCAAGTCCTGGATCCAATTGTCCCTGGCAGGACCCCTACATAATACAACTCTTAACGAATGTATAAGAAAAATGAACCCCATGAGAGAACCGAAATAAAGTCGAAGGGATGACATAGTACAATGACACCAAGAAGCCATACTTGAACATCCATGTCCTTTAAAAAGGAACCTGTTTAGGGGCGCCTGGGTGGTGCAGTCGGTTAAGTGTCCGACTTCAGCCAGGTCACGATCTTGCGGTCCGTGAGTTCGAGCCCCGCGTCAGGCTCTGGGCTGATGGCTCGGAGACTGGAGCCTGTTTCCGATTCTGTGTCTCCGTCTCTCTCTGCCCCTCCCCCGTTCATGCTCTCTCTGTTCCAAAAATAAATAAACGTTGAAAAAAAAATTAAAAAAAAAAAAAAAAAGGAACCTGTTTATTATAGAAAATTCCAAACATAACAAAAGGAGAAAGAGGGGTATAATGAACTCCCATGAAACGCTGTAGCCGTTGGTCCACTGGTCCAGTATTGTTTCATATATACCCTCCGCCATCAACATACCTTTTTGTATGCAAATATTTCAACAGAGATCTTTAAAAGATAAAGACTCTTTGAGAAAACAATCATTGACAATAAATTTCATCTATTGAAGAAAAAAAATGGAAACCAATTTGACAATAAATTTCATATATTGAAGAAAAAAAAAGAAAACAATCACAATAATATTACCATACATGAAATTGTAAATTACTGTGAATTCTTCAATATCATCCAATATACTATCAGTATTCAAATTTTCCTAATTGTCTTGCAATTTTTTTTTAATTTGCTTAATTAGGATCTCGATAAGGTACATTATTGCAGTTGGGTAACTTGTCACTTAAATGTCTTTTAGTTTATACATTCTGCTTTATTTTGTTGTTGCTGAAAAAACTAATTCGCTTTTCCTGACCAGAGTGGGATAATTTACTTCCCATAGTGTAATGTGCTTCACTCCCTTTATTTTGGGGGGAATCTTGAGATTGATCAGAGTCAAGTTTGATTTTTTCATTAAGAATATTTCATGAGGGTTGGTATGTAGTTCCTTTTGGAAACACAGGTACCTAGCCATTTCTCCTTTTCCGATAAACGTTGTTTAGATTTATTTTTTTTTTTAATTTTTTTTTCAACGTTTATTTATTTTTTGGGGGACAGAGAGAGACAGAGCATGAACGGGGGAGGGGCAGAGAGAGAGGGAGACACAGAATGGGAAACAGGCTCCAGGCTCTGAGCCATCAGCCCAGAGCCCGACGCGGGGCTCGAACTCCCGGACCGCGAGATCGTGACCTGGCTGAAGTCGGACGCTTAACCGACTGCGCCACCCAGGCGCCCCTGTTTAGATTTATTAATTTAGTAAAAGGAAATCCATGGAAAACTGAAGGAAAACTATGCCTCTTCAAAACAAGGAAAAACATACCTTTGAGACAGAACTGGGGCAACGTTGGCTGCCTCTTAACCCGAGCTCTTTCTGGGTATTCATTTCCCCTAATGTTATCTGCCTCGTGGATTATCTGCCCCGTGCCCTGCAGGGGCTTTTGCTTGTCTGATGAAGAAGGGCTCATCTCTTTCTTTATGACTCAATATTTGAATCCAAAGAAAAACTTACAAAAAGATGAAATTATTTGTGATCAGATGCTTTATAAAGATTTATGCACACATTTTATGGTTGTATACATTAGTTATAACCCTTTAGAATAAGTTTAATAATATCTAACTTAGTACCCTTGTATGCATGGTATAAAACTAAAACTATAATATTCTTCCAGCCACAAATGTTTCACCATTGTCTAAGACTGCATATCCTTCCCAACACGGTCTTTGAATAAATAAGAACACATAACTTTAGCAATTCATCTATAATTTTTTATGACTTGATCACTCTGAAAATTTCAAATAGTATAGCAAAGTATGAAGAAGAAACTGAAAATCACCGCTTTTTATACCACCCAGATATTTTTTTAAGTTTATCTATTTATTTTTGAGAGAGAGAGAAAGAGAGCACACAAGCAGGGGAGGGGCAGAGAAAGAGAGAGGGAGACACAGAATATGAAGCAGGCTCCAGGCTCTGAGCTGTCAGCACAGAACCCGATGTGAGGCTCGAACCCATGAACCATGAGAGCATGACCTGAGCCAAAGTTGGATGCTTAACCGACTGAGCGCCCCAGGACCCCCCCACCTAGATATTTTTGTGAATAGAATTACTATCATAAACATGGTAAATGAAACTGCACATGGTTCCTACACTCCTCTAGAGTTAATGTACAAATCTGAACTCTAGTCTTTATTTTATAAACACTGAGGGTTTATGGTGGGCAGGACAGTATGCTATGCTATGCTACGTTATGCTTTGCTCTGCATTGAGAGAGTGGACTGATTTCCTTCGTCAGGAAAGCCTAAAAAGGTATTTGTAAACCACCTGTCCTTGTCCTGCATCCATGTGAGCTTAGAAGTGGTTCCTTTTCCAGCTGAGCCTTCAGATGAGGCCACAGACCCTGAACGGACAGCTTGCTTGCAGCTGGACCCACAGAAACTGTGGGGTAAGAAATGCATGCTGTGTTAAGCTGGTAATTTTTGTAGCAATTTATTTTGCAGCAATAGATTATTAATATCTGAGTTGAAGGGATTTATCCACTTTTATTTGTACTTTGTTCTCAGGAACTTTCTCCCAACTCCGGTGATCACACGTAGACGCAGAGCATGTAATTGCTCCTGAAGACAAAACCAAAGCTTGGCAATTTTAGCTCATTAAAAATAAGTGTGTTGTGATATTTAGTGATTCTTTCAGAAGACAGTTCTTATCTAAAATAGTAATTGTGAGCTAAATTTTGAAAACAATCCCTTTCCTGATGCAAAATCTTGTCGTGAGTTATTTGAGGTCAAGAGAAAGGTAAGAAATGTACCAACTGGAACATAGAGCCTCAAGGCATGATAAACTGGCATTTAACTGAAACCTTTCTTTTTCCCTGCTAGCAATTCTCCATCAGTTAAAAAAATAAAGAAATCAAGAAAGTTCAAATAAATAATCAACTGTTCTTAAGGTGCTTTTAGAAAACATATGATTTATCTAACACCTGTGTAGGCCATTTAATGAACGTATTAATCTTCTGTGCTTATCACAAGTTGGGTTTTAATAATTAAATAGCATCTTTACTATTTACATGTCCAAAAAGACAAATCCAAAAATGTATTTAATTATTTATTTTTCTACTTTTCTGTGTTTTCAATAGTTTATTTCTATATGATTAAATGATTTGTGTATCTGCCTATGTACTAAGACATGTTTACACACACCGTGGAAAGAAGAAAGTTAATGGCTGTCCATTTGTTCTAGATCAATTAGCATTGCATTTAAGTATCGCTTTTCTGATATCTAGACAAAAAGGGAACTATAGAATTATCTCCATCTAGTAGGAATTCTTGAAGAACAGGAAGCATATTTTCATGGTTATAGCCCCAGTAGGCCAGGATTTTTGCCAAATAAGGGAATGAATGAATGAATGAGCATATCTCTGATTTCCTATGCTGAAGCTGTGCTACTGTCTCCAAGTTTTGACTTCTCTTAAGCTTTTGAAAACTCAGCAGATTGGATAACCAAACTCCAACTGTTCAGACATGAAAAATCAAGGGTAAATGAGCAGCCATACAAAATTTAAAGACAGAAATTTATTTTAGGGCATGCTGTTATAATTCCTCAATTGATGTCAAGGTTACGTTGGGAAGCAACATTTTTCTTTATAACCTCACCAATTTGGTAACATGTATTTTGGACTCAGTAAAATAGGAGGGTCAGCCTCTGTTCAATGGGAGAGAAAATTTAACCTGTTCCAAATACACAGCTTTAAGATGGGGATATTTAAAATAGCAAGTAATACCATTTATTAAGCTCCACCCGGTGCCAGAGAACCAAAAGGTTTATGCTGATGTATCTATTTAATCTTCATAGCAATTTGAGAAGTAAATACTGTTATATCTGTTTCAAACATGAAGAGACTAAAATCAGAGCGTTTGAGTAAATTACTCAATATCAAACAACTGGTAAGAACCTGAACACAAGTTGATTTCAATGCAAAGCTCTCTCAGATCCAAAACTAATTACTGAGTTTCCTTGACTGAAAAATGCTACTGACAGTGAGATTGAGGATGAGCATTTAGGGGAGAAGGGACCAAAACATTCAATGCAAACACAAATAATGTCACTGATTGATGGTAATAATATACATTTAGTCTTACAAGTAGGTAACTTCCTCCTATAGAATCACATACACAAAAAAAACAATGTGTAAACTTCTTGCACATTGAAAATGTCAAAGTCGTTTTGAATCAGTTGTGTCCATTGACAGTTAAACAGTATCGTGATAATTAACTGATTTTCATAATTTTCACTCTTGGTCTCTTTGACACTAATATTAAAAGTACCAATATAATCACTAAGGTTTATTGCAGATCACCTGGGTTTTATTTATATGTCCTAATTGGATTCATAGTTTAAATTACAGGGTTAAGAGGTTTAATTAAAAAAAATTTTTTTTAATTTAAGTATAGCTAACACTCAATGCTACATTAGTCTCAGGTATACAACACAGTGATTCAACATTTCCATACATCTTAACAGCATTAATTTGTGACTCATGCAGATCTGTATTTGAATCCAAATTATGCAATTATGTGAATTTAAGCTATTTTCTTCTCAGGACGGGTTAAGCCACGCTTTGATATGAAACAACACCAACATTTCAGTGGCTTACAACGGCAAAGGTTTAGTTCTCCCTCAAGCCACTTGCACATTCCATGTTTGCCGCCATGGTCTTGCCCATCTTTCAGGGTTAAGATGGTTACTTAGAGTCTGTGACATCTAAACCAAGACTGAAGATGAAGCGGGAGGGCTGTGGATGTGCCTGGAGAAAAGTCTTCCAGGCAGAAAAACAATGTAAGCAAAGGTTTGGGACGGGAGAGCTCAGAAATCAAGAGAATCGTATCTTAGAGGGTATGGTGTTCCAGAAGCCATACTGAGTCCTTGATTTGCCAAATATTTCTGCAATCCCAAGAAATCTACTTAATCTCTCTGAGACTCCGTCCTCATCAAATGAAGAGAATAACACCAACACTTTAGTATCATACGTGTACCAATCAAATAAGATACTACCGGTGAAAATTTCTAACACATGGCCTGGCTCATATTGGACATCACTTCTGTATATTTTCCTTTTCAGGAGGGGAAACGGTGATGTCTCTTAGATGTAAACGTAATGAAAACATCAGTCAGATTTCTCAACACACACCCTCTGAGGTAAAAGAAAAATGGAATCTAGTTACTTTGTGTTTCCAAGCAAAGACTGTAATTCAAAACATTCTGCTTCCCTCAATGTTTGTGTTTTATATTTTTTCAACCAAGCAAAAATATTTTTCAGTATCCATAGACAAACCCTTCTCTGGACTCTACAGGGCTATCACAGCAAGTAAGACATAGTTTCTGAAGATTTGTAGATATCGGGGCGCCTGGGTGGCTCAGTTGGTTAAGCAGCCGACTTTAGCTCAGGTCATGATCTCACGGTCCGTGAGTTCGAGCCCCGCGTTGGGCTCTGTGCTGACTGCTCAGAGCCTGGAGCCTGTTTCAGATTCTCAGTCTCCCTCTCTCTCTGACCCTCCCCCGTTCATGCTCTGTCTCTCTCCGTCTCAGAAATAAATAAACGTTAAAAAAAAAAAAAGATTTGTAGATATCAAAACCTAGTGAGAGAGACAATACAAACCATATTGAGTTTGCTTGGCTTTTGTTTGCTAACTGGTCCCACCTATACACAGTCCGTTCTAAAATAAATTTCGTTTTTTTTTTTTTCAGCCATCACAACAAATGCCTATTTATGTCATTGTTCCCGTCCAGTAAAGATAGCCAACCAAAATAGACACATTCTAATTATTTTGTTTCTTTCTTATTATTTGAGTTGTCATGATAACCGAATTAGGCTGGCTAATTAAAGTGTGACTGACTGATTCATTTAATTAAGTTATTATAATGACTAAAAGAACCCTCACTTAAATCAAACGATTGACTTAATGATATTGTATTCTTGGGTTGACACAACCTCTCTTTAAAAGAAGGGAGACACAACAGAATATTTAAAAGATTGGACACTGACACCTAAAAGAGTTTTCTTAAATGCAGGAAAGTATTGGTTGTAGTTGGTGGTTGTGATGAATTACGGCATCTGATAAAGAAAGATAATGCCGAGCTTTTCTCTCTTCTGTGTCGAACTTCGTAGAATAAGACATAAAAGGCTTTTCATTGACATGACTTTATTTTTTCTTTATAATGCCCTTCTGTTACAGGGTTGCAAAACTTTTTTTAAATCAAAAGTAAATGGGAGAAATTTGTTTTCAAATACACATTTCTGGCAGTTTCGTGCTATACTAGACTTGGGGTATTGAGTGGTGAAGCACGGGGAGTTCTTTATGCTTCTTTAATTATGTAGGTATCAACTCTAGAGTTACCTCTTCCACCCAACAACTTAAAGCAGGAAACGGAGGAATAAATTTCGATTTGCTGATAACTCACAAGGAGTTCAACTTTCATGGTTTTGCCTCCTTTAACCTTGAACCTGGTATGCACCATTAGGTAGTGTGAAAGAGACCACGGGGACCCATCAAAGAGCCAGCGTTTTCTACTCGACTGAAGGGAGCTTCCCGGGTCCCTGATCACGTGAGCTGCATCTGACAGTGAACGTGAACAAGCAAAACATCTTTATTGCTGAAAGCCCCCGAGGTTTGGGGTTTATCTGTGACTTCTGGCTAGCCTCACCTCCTCTGATCACCCTGTGGCTGAGGCTAGTGGAGCTCACCAACACTTAGGCACCCCTTCACCCTTGCAGGTGCAGTGGGGCTAGGTGGCTGGGTTCTGCACTCGGGAGTTGTAGGAGCCACCTGGTCTAAAGACATCATCGCTTTATTTTTTTTTTAAGATTTCCTCGGGGTTTCTTTTTTTGTTTGTTTGTTTTTTAATATAATTTATTGCCAAATTGGCTTCCATACAACACCCAGTGCTCATCCCAACAGGTGCCCTCCTCAATGCCCATCACCCACTTTCCCCTCTCCCCTACCCCCATCAACCCTCAGTTTGTTCTCTGTACTTAGCGGTCTCGTGTGGTTTGCCTCCCTCCCTCTCTCTTTTGTCCCCTTCCCCTCCCCCGTGGTCTTCCGTTGAGTTTCTCAAGATCCACATATGAGTGAAAACACTGTATCTGTCTTTCTCTGGCTGACTTATTTCACTTAACATAATACCCTCCAGTTCCATCCACATTGCTGCAAATGGCAGGATTTCATCCTTTCTCATTGCCAAGTAGTATTATTGCATTGTATATATAAACCACAACTTCTTTATCCATTCGTCAGTTGAGGGACATTTAGGCTCTTTCCATAATTTGGCTATTGTTGAAAGTGCTGCTATAAACACTGGGGTACAAGTGCCCCTATGCACCAGCACTCCTGTATCCCTTGAGTAAATTCCTAGCAGTGCTATTGCTGAGTCATAGGGTAGATCTATTTTTAATTTTTTGAGGAACCTCCACACTGTTTTGCAGAGCGGCTGCCCCGATTTGCATTCCCACCAACAGTGCAAGAGGGTTCTCATTTCTCCACACTCTCACCAGCATCTACAGTCTCCGGATTTGTTCATTTTTAGCCATTCTGACTGGCGTGGGGTGGTATCTCAGTGTGGCTGTGATTTGTATTTCCCTGATGAGGAGTGACGTGAAGACATCATCACTTTAGAATGCACAGTACTCAAGCTCTCCCTAAAGGCTTTAGCACCACAACTGGGTGTTAACCATTCTTTCTCTACGGTGCGACTCTTGGATATTGAACACATTTTAAATAAGACAGGAGTGTTTCTTGTGGATATAGATGAGTCCCGCGTAAGATGCCTCTGATTGAGAATTACTGTCTGTTAATATCAGGAAAGGAATTTGTCTGTATCCTCATAAAAGTTGGAATGCTCGAACAACAGACACACAGTATCTGACCTATCGTCCTCAGGGAAATCACATTCGGTGCACAGAAAAAGGTAGATTTTGTTGAAAGCAACGAAATAATTATACTATAACGAAGCCTGATTAATACTCTAACCTTGTATTCGGAATGCTACATGAAACTGCTCTCTGAGGCAATACGAAAATCACAGGTAAAAGCAATATTGTGGAAGCTGATAAAATTTGTGGCCAGTACTAACGTTGACAGTTGAATGTGCTGGGCAATCAATCACAGTCCCCTCAGGGTGCTATCCCGCTGGAGAGGAACCCTCTCCAGCGGGATAATTTAGACTTGATTATGATAAATTCACTATGGTTGTGAAATCACTCCACAGATGTATGCCATCAGGTCCGGGAAACTATGAATCAGAAATGGAAAATAATTGTAAAGTGAGTACAAAAACGTGAGAAAGTCTGCATTGCTATTGTTGGATGGTGTGGCTGTTTAAAGCCATACCAACCCCGCACTGCTTACTTTAAATGTTTGGAACGTGCGCATTTCAGATGTTTATCTGATCGTACCCTCTTGCAAGGCTGACAATCACCACCAAACAAGCAGTGATAGTGATTGTTTTGTCAGAAGAGTGCCTTGAGCCCAGGTCAGGGATGTTTCGCTGATGTAACAGTTTTGTCTTTATTGCACTGACCTCTGGTCAGAGACTGGCATCTACCGATTAATAACGTTGCGCTGTGACCACGAGGCTGGGGCAAGTCTCGGGTGGTGTGTACTAGATTGCCAGCATTGTTTCCTGATGAAATCGAATCTCAATGACATTCTAGAAGGTTCCACCACTGGAGTTGGCTGTGTAGCAAGAACATGCCTACATATCCAGCGGGGGATAAGGAGCCCTGATGAGACTCTATCTTTGGATCCCTGGTCTGAGGTGCTCTGTGTACAACCGGTGGTTCCCGAATAAGAGAGAAAAAGCATGTCGTGGTATCACCCTGCAGAGAGGGCAATTGGCATTCATCCCTCCTTTTTTTCCCCTTAAATGTTTATACTTTTGAGAGAGAGAGAGAGACAGAATCCAAAGCAGGCTCCAGGCTCCGAGCTGTCAGCACAGAGCCCGGCGCGGGGCTTGAACCCACAAACCGTGAGATCATGACCTGAGCCCATCAGACGCTTAACCGACTGAGCCAGGCAGGAGCCCCTGCACCCATCCCTCCTTGTTCTCCAAACTTCTGGCTGCGAGGCAGCTTCGGGCCGCGATGCGTATCTACACTTTAATTCTGCTGCCATGTTGGACCCTCTTTCTACAATACAGTGAATTTTTGTTAAGTATGGCCGGTTTGAGCCCTGTGAATCTTCTTTGGTAATCGAAGCCTATCTAATTGCCACAGGGAGTGCAGTTCCTGTGTCCCCACTTTCTGGCAGGGTGCCTGGCCCGTGGGATGCATCTACTAAATATGAAATGACATCTACC